AGGGCAGTTTCAGGGCAGTTTTGGCCTTGTTGTTGGGAAATCCACTAGGCCTTCTAGGCTTGCTTCCTCCGCCCCGCCCCCAAATCACCTAGTCCCAGTCTTTTCATGTGAAAAAGCGCTGAATATTAAAAATATATAAATAAGACTAAAAGGCCTAGGTCTAGGCTGGGTCAAAACATATGCAAATTATTCGCCCCAAAAGTATCAAATAACCCAAATAAAATATTTATATAGTCAATTTCAATACCCAAGAACATATTGTCAATAAATACCTTTGAAACTCTCGTGATTTTCAGCGAGAAAAAATTTGATGAAAAGTCCCAATTATTTCGTCGACCGAACGCGAAATTCACAATTGAGAAAAAAATCCGCTGCAATGCATCACGGTATGGTGACGATTACTCCTCTGGTCCCCGCTATGCAAATTCAAAATTATTATGATCATCATTTCTTTAGAAATTGATTGATTTCACTGTCAAGGAACACGAAAATATTTGCATAGCGGGAAGACATCGTCGGGCTGGCTACGCTACTGTAACGTGGCTATCTCGGTCAATATTGCATGAAAATACATAATATGGTGTACATCAAAATTTAAATTAGGTCTAATATAGCTCTTTTGTTGCATTGCCTGCGATTTATATGGCATATACGTGTTACTAAATAGATACAAATAATGAATGTTTATGAACGCTATGGTAAAAATTTCATGAGGTGAAAGATGGAATTTTCAAGTCCACGATACGACGGCCGGCGAGTATTAGTTCTATGGTACTGTTGCACGGTGGCAAAATTGGAATTTTATTTCCATATTACCGAATTTTAATCACTCAATTAAATTATGATAATTTAACGATGTGTTATACAACGCAAATATATCATGTTGCTGTTACTACCAGTGAATACCACCATGATCATGATACCCTCTCCTTCGCAGAGGCTTTAGTTTTCTTAGGATTTAATATTACGATGAGATACATTTCACTACACTTTACATGGCGGATCTTGGAACACGAGCGTAGCCGCTGGGCGAAGGAGCGCAGCCGGAAAAGGAAAAAGGCGAGGGAAGGCGCGAAGCCTCTGCACGATTTGCATCGCAAAGTGGGACAAAGTGGGACAAAGTGTAAACATCGAAACAAAAGGTGATTTTTAAGCTAAATAACATACGCCTTTTTGAAAATAAAATCATAATTTAATGCATGATTGATTGACCTCATTGACTAGTGCTTGCATCTTTGTGGATGGTCAAAAGTACTGAATAAGATTTTTTAACATTACACATAGCAAAACAATCGTATATTTCATCACCGCTTGGCCAAACATTCTGTATTTCGTATCGAGAAAAACTTGAATATCTCTTGAACTCTTCGGAATTCGCCACAAGACAAAGAAGTAAAATACTCCTTATATTCAAGCGCTTTCGTGTAGAAAATTTCGTTTGAATACGGCCAGTAGAAATATTTATTTTTAATTTTTCAAAATATCGGGTTTTTACTCGCACAGTCGCACGCGCCTGTCCCACGCTGAAGTTCGGGAATAGTTCACGATCAGACCAGAAATGGAAATACCATAATAAAAGATGCAGTTTTCAAGATACAAGCTCAAAAATAACACTCTAAATAGTGTTTTGAATTCTCTTTCGAACAAGACTATAATACAAAGAGGATGCGTCCCAAGGAGCCGAGTTATGTTCGGCGAAAGGTATGCCTAGTTTATATTTATCAAGTATAAATATTGCGTGACTTGATCCTCACAATATACAAATAATAAAATCCCGCTTGACTTTCGAAGGCCATAAATCGCTATAGTGTTGACATTTCACTAAAACTATCGATAGAAATTAGGAGATATTTTTGTAGTGAATCGAACGGTGGTATTTTCATCTACATAGCATATATTGAACCAAAGATACGAACCTCCAAACTGAACCAGGTCGAAACAGACTTATTATAAGGTCACGTTTATTTACAAATATTGCTGAAGTTGAAATAGTTCATAGTTGAATTGTATATTTTCAGTCTTGATAATAAATTTTATAATGGTTCTGTATGCCATACATACTCATTTTTTTCTTTTATGCGGTTTTTCCGGACACATTTCTAAAAATACAAATGTAAAATATAAATTTAAATACAAGTTTCTTCGCTTGCAACCAAAACCTGTTCGCTATAAAATACGTTGTTTCCATGATTGTTTTATAGTGTAGATGGAGACCTTGTCTAGAAAAATTGCAGATGTTTTCTCGCAAACTGCATGGACATAACACTTTGGCTTATTTCGTAGAGCTAGTAAATAATCTCTTTGTCAGCTTGTTGCAGTATTGTAAAGAGATATTTCCTCAGTTATTTTGACTTGAATTTTGCGTTTTATAATTATACCCCCCCCCCGGTTTACCGCCATATTGGGTGTGGAATCGTGCAGAGGCTTCGCGCCTTCTTAGCCAATTAAAGCCTCTGCGGAGGAGAGAGGGGTTAGTCTGTGTCTCAGTAGTGTCTACATTAACACTTCCTACAAAAAATGTGTCATCGGGTGCATCATCAGAATCACTGGAGTCACAATTAACGTTTTTGACAGACTTGGTTTTTTTCTGGACAGCACCTTGCAAAATAATTAAACTTAGAGCATTTCATGCATTTTTTTCCACAGGCAATACAGTTTCCCCGTTTATGAGAATATGAGCAAAACTTATAATTTTTAATTAGGGACTTATCGTAACCAACTGATTCTTTGCCAGAGTTTTTCTTTTCATCTCTTGCTAACTTCTTTCTACGAACAGCGTCAACTGAGTTCTTGCCATCGACTTCTTTCTGGAGCTCTTTTACATGTCTCTTCGTCTCCTCAGCAGCATGTCCAATTTGTATAGTTTTCAGCGGTGTTAATTCTGGCTCTCTAAGAAGACGTTTACGAAGACGGTTGTCATTAATTCCACATATTATAATGTGACGAATGAGGCTTTCACGAAGTGCTTCAAACTCACACTCAGCACTACGCTTTTTTTAGCTCAGTAACGAACTCATCAAAAGATTTACCATCTCTCTGCTTACATGTAAAGAATTTGTGGCGCATAAATGTAATATTCTTTCTTGGACTACAGTAATCTTGAAACATTTGTACAACGACTTTGAATTTCATTTCCTCTCCTTCGACGAACTGAAACGTATTATAAATTTCTCTACCTTGCTTTCCGACGCATGTGAGAAGTATTGATATCTTTATTTTGTCAGATTTTCCATCCTTCTCAGTAGCAGTAAGATAGAGTTCTAGTTCTTGGCGCCATTTCTGCCAATTTTCACTAAGGTTGCCTTCGAACCTTAAACAAGATGGCGGCTCAAATTTGTCCATTTCGCTTCACCTTTCAGACCTTTAGAGCTTATATATAACCAAATGCGGAACTTAACGACAACTTTATTGTTTAAATTACTCCTGACACCATGTTGTGATCAAGAGACATGACCAAGAAATATGAAATATGTTTAATAAAGCAAAACTAACAGGCTACAGCAATACTAAATTGTGTCATAGCTGAACAAAACAACATGCTTCTTTATAGTCTCAGGCAGTCAGGCTACCAGGCGTATTGCCAGGCATGCAGGCAATAATATAAAATTAACATAATCTTTGAGAACAAAGGGATCCGGAGGCCCGTCTGGTGTCGATGCTAACGGCTTTAGAAGAATGTTGGCATGTAAGCCCTTTAAGCAATCATCTACAAGACTGTGTGCGAAGCTATAGCCAGAATGACCAAGACTTTGTGCACACAATATATCGATCCTACCACTATTGAAGCATTGATTGCTTGTCTTTTAATTCCCCTAGACAAAGGCGAAGGTGCGTTAAGACCTATCGGAGTAGGAGAGGTAATAAGGAGGATAAGTGCAAAATGTGTTATGAGCTTTGCAAAGAAGGATGTTGTGTGTTGTGATCAAGAGACATGACCAAGAAATATGAAATATGTTTAATAAAGCAAAACTAACAGGCTACAGCAATACTAAATTGTGTCATAGCTGAACAAAACAACATGCTTCTTTATAGTCTCAGGCAGTCAGGCTACCAGGCGTATTGCCAGGCATGCAGGCAATAATATAAAATTAACATAATCTTTGAGAACAAAGGGATCCGGAGGCCCGTCTGGTGTCGATGCTAACGGCTTTAGAAGAATGTTGGCATGTAAGCCCTTTAAGCAATCATCTACAAGACTGTGTGCGAAGCTATAGCCAGAATGACCAAGACTTTGTGCACACAATATATCGATCCTACCACTATTGAAGCATTGATTGCTTGTCTTTTAATTCCCCTAGACAAAGGCGAAGGTGCGTTAAGACCTATCGGAGTAGGAGAGGTAATAAGGAGGATAAGTGCAAAATGTGTTATGAGCTTT